TAATTTGTTTTATGATTTGTAAAAGTGTTTCGTTTGTTGTAATTTTGTTTTCTCAAATGTAAAGTTGTTTCAAGATTTTTAAAAGTGTTTCAGATTTTGTATTGTTGATTTGCACTTCCCAGCCACCGTAGTTTTAGGCCCAGATTAATACACTTTGGATAAAAAAAAAGTCTGAATTTAATTTTTTATTTGATTGATTTATGTCTGTTTTTGTACAGAAATGTTTATTTATCGCTGCAATTTTATTTTTTTTTATGTTCTTGCAATACCGGTTATTTTTTGCACATCACTGTTGCAGTTAGAACCTAAATGTACCAACCACTGGATAGCATTCACATAAATAAACTGTATACACTAGATCATGCATACAATTAGAGGGTTGTAAATAGTGTTGCGCCGATGCCATTTTTTGGCCCCGATACCGATACCTGGCTGTGCAGTATCGGCCGATACCGATACCATAATAATGTAAAATAATTGCCATCATGGCTTTGTCAAGCTGCTGCCTACCTTTGTGAAGCAGGAAAAAATCTAATCCAAAGTGAATCCAGTAGAACTTTTTATTGCCTACCTGGAATGGGGGACAATAGTTGAATAAACTTATGGCTCTCAAAATGGTATCGGTGCTCTATTTGTTGGTCCTCGCTGATACAAATACCACCATTTTAGGGCAGTATCGGGGCCCTGTCCGATACTGGTATCGGTGCAACACTAGTTGTAAACAGCACTGCTAGAGCTAAAATGATATTATAGCGGGTGTCTGGTTGATCTGATCATCGGCTGTTGTTTGTGGCAGAAATAGAGGGCCCTGGTTGTCAAAATTTGCCAAGGGCCCCACGGAGGATTGAAATGATCCCTAGCGAAGGGAACCATTTTCAACCCGGGTAGAGACTCTTTTCACCGATATGACTTGCTTCTTACCTCCACTCTTTACTCAGAAGGCTGATCTGATCGGCAACAACACTTTGCTCCAAAAAGGAAACATCAGGACTGCAGAAGTCATCCAGTACTGGGCCTTTTGAGGAAGCCAACTCCATAACACAGGTGACAAAGGCTAAAGTGAACCGTAGATCACTCAGAGCATCAGTATGAGCCTGCTGTGAAAACAAGTAAAGTCCGAAAATTCAGATGCAAAATTCCTCTTTAATCTGCTCTAAAAGAATCTGTCCTCTTCATTGGTCTTTACCTCCATCAGAGTGTCTTCAGGGAGCTCCGGAGGCTGGAAGATCAGAGCACTTTGAGGGATGGCGTCCATGGCTTCTGTTTCACTGTTTCGGCGACTTCCCCTCTGGAGAGGATAAGCGTTCAGCATCCAACCAGAGTTCAAGTAGGTGGGAGAGCCTGCAAGTCAGGCAAAAGGAAAACTTCACTAACCTACAAATAAGTGGGTCTGCCATAAAGATAGCTGCCAGGATATCTGAAGTCATTGTTAGCAGTTACAACACATGAACATGTGGCAAACTATCCAAAGAGAAGGCTAAACAGATACAGTAATCAGTTAATACAGGGTTTATACATGATGAGTAACTCTTATATAATGCTTTTTAATCCTTTTTTAATGCTGAGAAAAAAATGTAATGCCATCAAAAAGTACCCAT